CACAAAGGCCGCTCTCACCGTGCGCTCCCGGCTCCGCCGCGCCCCGCGCCCGCCGCCCGCCCGCGGCCGCCAGCAGCAGCAGCACCGGCAGCGGCGGCAGCGGCGGCAGGAGGCGGCGGGGCCGCATGGTGGCTCCGCGCCGTTACCCCGCCATGCCCGGCCCGCCCGGCCCGTCCGCCCGCCCGCCCGCCGCGGGGACCGGGCTCCACCTGCCGGAGCCGCCGGGCACGGCCGCCCCGGTGCCCACCCCCGGACCGGCACCGCCCCGCCACCGGGACCACCCACCCGGCACCACCCCGAGACCCCCCAGGCCCACCCCCGGCACCGCCCAGAGGCACCCCCTCCCCCAGATCCACCCCTGGTACCGCCCCCGACACCGCCCCGAGATGCGGGACACGTCGCCGGTACAGCAGCGGATCCCGGGATTCTTCCCCGGGACCCCTAAGAGACCTGGACCGAGACTCAGCACCGGCACCGGCATCCCGGACTGACCCTGGTGTCGGCAGCGGCAACCCAGTGGCCACCCCCGACACCGGCACCGACCCCCGGAGACACCTCCGACATCGCCCCGAGCCCCGGCACTAACAGCGATACCGACCCCGACCCCGGGTACCCACCCCGGGTACCCACCCCCGGTACCGCCCCAAGGCCGTCATCCCAGGACTGACCCCGGTACCGGCATCGGCATCTTTGCACGGACCCCGGGACCGCACCGGGACTCCCGGGACTCATTCCCAGCACCACTCCGGGGCCCAGGACGGGCACTCGGTACCGGCACCGGCATCCCAGGACACACTCCCGGTAGTTCCTCGAGCCTCAGTGTCGACCCCCCGTACCTCACTGGCATTTCGGGACTGACCCCCGGTACTGCTTCGATCCCCCGGACCCACCCCCGGGACTGACCGCGGGACCGACACCCACCCCCGGTACCAGCACCCGCCCCGGTCCCGGCCCCCGGTGCCGCACTGGCATCCTGGCAGACACCCACTCAGTACCGACCCCCCTGCGTGTTCCCTCCCCAAACCCCCCAGTGCAGGTCCTGGGGGCACCCCCATGTCACCCACGGGCAGCACACGAGTGCCAGGCAGGGATTTATTGTCCAGGGAGGAGCAGAGGGGGGCTGGGGTCCCACGGGCACTGAGGGGAGTTGGGGACAAAGGGACTGGGGGGAGTGGGAGAGGGGGGACCCCACTAGCCCTGGGCACTCCCGGGCTCCTGGGCCTGGCCGGGCTCCTGTGTGTCCCCCTCAGTGGGCGGCCGTGTCCTCTTGAAGAAACCCATCTGGAAGGGGACAGGGTGACAGCCAGGCCCTGTGGGACCCCGTGGCACTGGTCCCAGGGACCCCACAGCATCACCTCCCAGCTGCCCCCCACCCTGTCCCTCAGCCCCCACCCACAGGTCTATGCCCCCCATTTCATGGTCCCTCCAGTGCCAGTGAGGCCCCCCCACCATGGTGGGTGTCCCCGGTGTCCCCCCACGCCCACTCACCTTCCACATGAAGAGGCTGAGGAGGGTGAGGAGCAGGAGCCCGGCCAGGACCCCCAGCACCACCCCCCACACCGGCACAGCCCCCTTGCCCCCGGGGCTGGCACGAACGACCCGAGTGACAGCCTGCGGAGGGACGGCTGCGTGACACTGCTGCCACCACAGCCTGTCCCCATTTCCCCGTGTCCCTAACAGCCCTACCGTGGTGTTGCCGGAGGGCAGGACGCGGGGCTGGACCCGGTAGGGCATGGCCGAGGTGCTGAACCACGCCTGGGACTGGATGAGGAACTGCGACAGGAGGTGCTCCCGCTGGGGACGCGAGTGGGGACAGACGTGGGGACACACGGGGACACATTGGGGACACGGCATCAGGGGTGCTGGCAGCCAGTGGGGCACCCATGACGCCGTTCATGTCATCCCCAGTGCTGCTCTCTGCAGGAGGGGACATGGCAGGGACGCCCTAGGGCCACAGTGCCACCACCCTGTGCCCTGGAGGGGACAGTACCTGCTGCAGGGTGTCCATCCAGAGCAGGGCGTGGACACTGACCAGTGCCCGCTGGTCCTTGCCCAGGCTGGGCACGTGGCAGGTGACGTCCACGCAGGTGGCATTGTCACAGTCCTGAGGGACACGGCAGGTGTTGGGGACCCCCGCCCCGAGGGACACCCCCAGCCCTGCACCCACTGTGGGCTGTAGGTCCCCGGGGTCATAATGGGGCGGGGTCCTCCACCCAGCCCCACATCCACAACGGGACGCAGGTCCCTGGGTGCACCTACTCACCGCAGGGATGGGGTCTCCCACCCCGGCACCCCCTCAGGCCCCACCCATCAGGCGATGCAGGTCCCCCGGGGTCACCCTCTCACCACGGGGACCGGCTCCCCCAGCCCCACCCCGGGGGGCTCCTCCGCCTCCCGGCGCTCCCGCTGGCGGGTGCCGTTCCTGGGCGCTGCTCCCGTGGGACGGGGGATCTCCAGCTGGAACGAGACAAAGGGGTCACACCCAGCTCCTTAACACCCACCAGCGCCCGCGGGTGGGCTCTGGCCCCTCAGCCCCTACCTGGGCGGGGTTGAGGGCGGGGTGGTGGGTGCAGTTCATGCCCCCCTCGGTGCCCAGCTCCAGCAGGTAGAGAAGGATGTGGCCGCCCAGCTGGTGGGGAACAGCGAGGCGCAGGGTGACCCCGCTGACGGTGCTGGGACCCTTGTTGTGGAGCTGCGGGAGGACAGGAAGGTGACACCAGGGAGGGGACAGAGGGGACAGCCCCCCGGGCACCCGGGGAGGGGCAGTGCCCTACCTCATAAACGTGCTCCACCTTGATGCCGTGGTCCTCGAGCCGCCGGCTGCCCTCCACCCCCTGCCAGCTCGTGGGCAGCACCGTGGTGTCTGGCAGGGAGTTGCTGGCAGGAGAAGGGGGTCAGTGTCCCCCTTCGTGTCTCTCCCCGTGCCCCCCTGAGCCCCCCAGACCCTCACCCTCGCAGCTCCATCTCTGCCTGAGCCTCCACGGGCACCGTCACTGTCACCGAAGCATTGGTGGGGCTGGGGCTGTTCTTGCTGCGGGGGGAGGGACAGACACCGAGTTTGGGGACACGCTGAGGACACCGATCCCCAGTGCCAGTGTCCCGACAGTGGGAGGGGGCAGGGAGACGGCAGTGTCACCTCCGCAGCTGGAGCTGGAAGGTGATGGCATCCCCCATGTCCTCCAGCCCCGACACGCTCAGCTCCATGTCCACGGTGATCTGGGGGGTAGGGGGGAGGTGAGTGACAACCCCAATGCCAGGAAGGGTGATGGGCACAGCAGAGAGACCCCCCCATGCCCTTACCCGGGCCCCCGCTTTCATGGGGTTGCCCAGCTCGCAGAGCACCACGTGGGTCCCATTCTCCTTCTTGGGGTTGCAGCTCAGCTTCTCCTGCCCCTGCGGGTGGGGGGTCACAGGGAGGGGACACGTCATGGACCCCTCTGGGCACCCTCCACCCCAGGGGCCTGCATGGGCCGAGGGCACCCCGGGAACCCCTGTCCCCCCTCTTGGGCACCCACCGGGATGGTGCTCCGGGCTGCCTGGTAGTGGGTGCCAGGGGGCAGCTGCACCCTCAGCTCGGCCTCGAAGGCGCCTTCTCCCGCGTTGAAGGCGTGGGCCCGCAGGCGCAGCGCAGCCTCCGCCCCGATCAGCAGGCGCTGGCTGGGGCTGGGGGACACGGGGACACGGGGACAGGGATCAGCACCCCGTGGGGATAACTGCTACCCCCCTCGCCCCCCCTGTCCCAGGTGCTCACGTGTCAGCGGCCAGGTGGAGGTCGGGGATGCAGAGATTGTCCTCACCACAGTCCTCCAGGATGATGTGGGTCTGGGAGGGGGACAGGGAGGGGACAGGGGGACCCCCCATCCAAGGTGCAGTGTGGGAGGGGGAGTCATTGGGGACAGCAAGGGATACCGGGGGGGAGTTCCTGGGGAGGGAATGGGGTGGTGGAGGAGGCAGAGGGGACATCCCAGGGGGGAAGATTTGGGACGGTGCTGGGTAGAGAGGGGTCATTCCCAGGAGTGATTGAAGATGGTGGATGCGAGAGAGGTGACACTCCCGGGAAGGAAGAGCAGAGGGGACATCCAGGGGACTGACTCGGGATAGGGGAGGATACTGTGGGACACCCCAAGGAGGGAGCAGGGACATCATGGGGAGAGATTGGGGATGGCAAAGGGGACAGAGGGGACATCCTCGGGGACGTGACTGGGGTGAATGGGGTACACAGGTGACATCCCAGGGAGGGACTGGGGACAGCAGGGTGAGCACAGAGGGTTGGGCAGGAGGGACACACCCGGGAGTGGCAGGGCACAGGGGGGGGTGCACATTCCAGAGGGGATGGGGGACAGTGGGAGGAGTAGGAGGCACATTCCAACAGGAACTGGGGACAGTGAGGGGGGCGGGGGACAGTCCCAGGGAGGGGCTGGGGACACTGAGACAGGCTGGAGACCCCGGCTCTGAGTACACCAATTCTGGGGGTACCCACGTGTACCCTGGCCCAACCATGGGGACGAACCCACCCCGCGTCACCACAGCCATGTCCCCCCACAGCCGTGTCCCCCCTACCTGTGCCTGCACCAGGGTGTTCCCGTACAGCACCAGCCCCGGGGCCTCCCGGGGCAGTGCCAGGGCCACGCTCAGGGCCACCGGGCTCAGCTTGTCCTTGAACTCGGCCTCGTCCTGGGGACACCATGGGCAGAGCACTCTGGAGGGCACCTCGAACCCACCCCACCCGCCACGGTCCCCATCCCTGTCCCCCCCCTCCTGGGACTGTGTCCCCCCGTGCCCGTACCCGCAGGTAGGCGGTGAGGTTGCGGCACTGGGGGCGTGTCCCCGGTGTCACCAACAGCTGCTCCCGCCAGGACGCCTGGTGTCCCTGCAGCAGCAGGACCCTCCGGGACAGCCGGGGCTTCAGCCGGTCCAGCTGCAGCTCAGCCTCCAGGTCTGGCAGGGCACAAGAAAGGGTGGCACTGGTGACATCCCCGGGGACACCCCAGCGGTGCCCGTGTCCCCCCTGGGTGGTGCTGGCACTCACGGATGGCCGAGGGGATGTGCTGGCCCGTCACGCTGACACAAAACACCACGTGGAAGCTGCGGGGGAACAGAACACAGGGGTAACTCAGGGGCCTGGCCTGTCCCCACGGCAGTGTCCCCATGGCATTGTCCCCTTAGCAGTGTCCCCACGGCAGTGTCCCCATAGCCGTGTCCCCACAGCACTGTTCCCATGGCAGTGTCCCCTCATCGGTGTCCCCGCACCGGTGTCCCCAGCACACTCCTCACCAGCTGACACGGATATCGGCGTCGGGCAGGACACAGGCCAGGACCTCAGGGTTCAGCCCATCGGGGACACTCAGCTGGGTGTGGGCCACCACCACGGGCTGTCCCCTGGGGCACAGGGACATTGCTGAGGTGCCAGGGGACCCGGCAGGGACTCCCGGGCCACCGCAGGGATGGGCACTCACCGGTACACGGCCACCTTGGCCGCCCCGTAAGCGCCGACCAGCAGATCTGCGGGGACAAGCAGAGGGTCGGTGCCGGGCTGGTGACACCGGCGTGGCAGGGCGGTGACAGGGTGGTGGCACCCCGGGGCCGTACCCGGGTAGCCGTTGCCGTCCAGGTCGGTGCCCCCTCGCAGGGCGAAGCCGAAGGCGGCGGGGCCGGGGAAGGGGCTGTCGAGGCGCTGGGTGGGCACCGGCTCCAGCCCCTCGCTCTGCCCGCGGAAGATGAAGACCTGCCCTCTGCCATCGTCACCGCCCTGCGGGGCACCCACGGCCACGTCTGGGAACACGTAGGAAGTGAGCGCCCACCCAGCACCACCCACCCAGCACCACCCACCCAGGCTCTCCCGCCTCAGTGTCCCCAAGGTGGGGCACAGGGGGGTCCCCTGGCACAGCCCCCTCGCCCCCCCCCGCGGTGTTACCGCCGAAGCCGTCCTTGTCCAGGTCCCCCAGGCTGGCGATGGCGGCGGCGAAGCGGCCGTAGGGGTGGGTGCCCGTCAGGGTCTGGGGGGGCCGGGAGAGGAGCTGGTGCCCCCCGCCCAGGTAGAGGTAGAGCCGCCCCAGCTCGCTGCGCTGCCCGTCGGGGCGCCGGGCCATGTACAGGGGGGCACCCACCAGCAGGTCATCCCGCCTGTGCCCGGAGAGGGGTCAGGGTGAGGGTCCTCAGGTTTGGGGGCTGGGGGCACCCAGGGGTGTGCCAGGCGCTGGGCAGCACCCCTGGGTGTCCCCGTGGGGGACTGGAGGGGGGGACAGTCCCGGCTCTCACCCGTCCCCGTTGGCGTCG